AATCAAAACCGTTTAAAGAAACAAATTGTTTCCTGTCAGCTAAGTAGCTCTTAAACCAGTCCAGAGCTGTGCCCTTGACACCATAATGCGATAATTTCCCTAGCAAAATTTCATGATCTATAGTATCAAATGCCTTGGAATAATCAAGGAATATACCGATTGTGTGCATCTTTTTGTCTATTGCTTGTGAAATCTTATCTATAAAGTGCAGCAAGGCATGAGAGGTAGTATGTTTCTCTCGGAACCCAAACTGAAAATTTGAGAATATTTTACTTTTGTTGAAAAATTCTAAAGTTCTAACATAAATCACTTTCTCAAGGATCTTTGAGAAGGAGGTTAGAAGTGAAATAGGACGGTAATTTGAAAAAGATTGAGGATCACCCTTTTTAAAAACGGGTACGACTTTTGCAATTTTCATGTTTTCGGGGACTATTCCATTTAACATTGATGAATTAAAAACATGAATAAGGGGTTGAATAATCGCTAAGATAACCTGTTTAATTATGTCATTATTGACACCATCGTAACCAGGACTTTTCCCAGCCTTAAGCGAATTCACAATAGTAAGCAACTCTTCCCTAACTAATGGGAAAAGGAATAAGCTTTTCTTGTTAAAGGGGGTTAAAGTTACGAGGTTTAGTTTAAGGGTGTTTGTGTGGAATTTGTGAAAAACCGAGAAGGAGGCGTTCCATGGATTTATCAGGTGGTGTCGTAGGCTATTAGGACCCGGGCCCCCCCCCCCCCCTGACTTTTTTTTTGTTTAGATTTAGGTCTATCTAGACTGATCTAGGTCTAATTGTTTTTTTGTTTTTTTTTAAATATATAAAAAATATACATGTAGATATAAAAAGTTGTAGTAAGTGCTGCTCACACTACCCCCCCCCCCCTCCCCCTACCACTGAGTGAAAAATGATCAGCGCAATTTTCGAATTCCCGGTAGCAATCATGGAGATAAAAAAATAATGCTCACTAGACTAGATCTACCCCCCCCCCACCCCCCAGTCGCTGAATAAGCATTCAGCGACTGGCTGAGACGTTGCGAAATTTTCTCTCAAAAAAACAATCGTCAGCGCGATTTTCAAATTTTAGGCCCCCCCCCTATCGGCAAATCCTGGATCTGCCACTAATCTAGAGTCTATTCCTGTTTGGGGCGATGTGGTCATGCTCAGGCGCGCCAGAAGCAGTTATGGATTGTGGGGTTAATGGGGCAAACATTCATTTCCAGGGGCCGTATTCTGAACGTTGTAACTTTTGTTGTATCTTTTCTCTCATCTGTTTGGAGGCGCCTGCGTTCAAACTTTTGTTTTGTGCGCTGGTAACTGCAGAGACGCCACGTTCAAAGATTACCAATGCGTGACATTTTCATGACTCGGCGCGGTAGCTCTGTAACTGTGCTTGTAAGTAATAAAATGGTGCTAAATCCTCATTTGCATATGCGCACGAGAGATGATTTGAAAAGATAATTGGTATTCTGAAAATTGTTGTATCTTTTATCTTATCTTATCTTGCGTGGTATTTACAACAATATTTAAAACAGGTAGGGGGTTGTTGTATCTTTTGTGATGATATAATGGCAGCAATATTTCTTGCCCAGAACCAACTTTGTGCCAAAAGACGAGTTACAAGAATATTGTGTGTTGACCGGAAACATCACAGATGAGAACTTTCTAAGAATTACATGCTAAGATATGACGATTTTAGTACTCTCAAATACCAATGTAGTGAAAGCGTGACTTGTCTTCATGATTCACATGCCACAGCGCATGATGACGCGCGTAATAAGCGCTCAAATATCTAATTACGCCCAAGATTAGTCTGCGCTAGGCGCATCTTCAGATCTGACATAAAGTATTCCTATTGGTTGACCTACTTATCATGCTTATGAAACAGATTTTGATTGGTAGGGTCCATACAAATGGGCGTGTCAACAGCGGTCAAAGATAAGATAGAGGCGGATAAAACAATGTTCAGAATACCAACTTACAACAATATTAGCGCTGTGTTATCTCTGGGCGATACAACAAAATATAACACAAAACTTGCAACAATGTTCAGAATACCGCCTTTCAGCTCACCTTTCAGGGGCAGTGGCATAATGAGCAAAAACTTTTTTTTTTAAGGGGGGGGGGGGGCAGAAGAAAAATCTGCATCACTACCACTCTTACATGTTACATGCAGGCCCGCATAAATTTTTTTTAAAGTGGAGTATTAACAATCAGCTTTATATCTCGACAATCGGATAACAAGGTGTTCTCAGACCTTCGGATAACTCCAGGTATTTCGGACCATTCTGCAATTTTGTGCAGTATACATCTCCACAAACCTCCAAGATTGACAGTATTCGAAGGCACCTCTGTACTGATGTTGCTCCACTTCCACCACTGTCTTGTATTGGACTTGCAACACTTGCAGATACTACTTCAGAGGAAATTGAGTCGCTTATCCGCAACAACCCTGTGAAATCATGTGAGCTTGATCCGATTCCAACTAGTGCCACTATCATACATGTATTTCCTTACATTGCCGATGTGGTCATGCAATCTGAGTCTGCAGAGTGGAAAAGTTCCGAAAGCCTTAAAGATCGCTCATATTCATCCACTACTGAAGAAGCCTTCATTAGATCCAGAATGTCTCCAGAACTATCGTCCAGTCTCGAATCTACCTTACTTGTCAAAACTTTTGGAGCGTGTAGTCTTCTCTAGATTGTATGATTACCTACAGGAGAATGATCTACTCGACAATCACCAGTCAGCTTACCATGCAAATCACAGTGTTGAGACCCTGCTCGTCAACCTGTCCAAAAACATCCTGACAGAAATGGATGTTGGTAGGATCACAGCAGTCGTGTTATTAGACCTGTCGGCAGCATTTGATACTGTGGACCATCGTATCCTTGTCAATGTATTGTCATCCATTGGAATTCGTGACCACGCACTTGAATGGTTCATGTCCTATTTGGATGGACGGCAGCAATTGGTATGTGTAAATCATGAAAGATCTGATCCTGTCAAGCTCAGTTGTAGCGTCCCGCAGGGGTCAGTCGGGGGGCCGTTTTGCTGTTTTCCTTGTACATCACTAGGCTCAAGCAAGTTTTACAGCAGCATGATGTCAAGTATCACTGCTATGCAGATGACATCCAGATCTACGCATCGTTCCTTCCCAATCAAAATGACGCAAGACGGACTGTCAAACTACTCGAAGCTTGCGTCAAAGATGTGCAAACTTAGATGAACTCGAACTCACTCAAACTGAATGATAGTAAAACTAAACTAATTTTATTGGGTTTGAAATCTAATCTTGCTAAGATACAGTCGTTCAATATATCCATATCAGATTCTGTAATTAGTCCTTCCTCGCAATGTCGTAACCTTGGTGTCATGTTAAACTCGTCTATGTCATTGTCAACTCATGTTTCTAGTATTTGTAAGTCAGTCAGATATCAACTGAGAAATCTAGGTTTTATTAGGAAATACTTAAGTCGTTCAACCACAGAGAAACTTGTACATGCTCTTATTTCATCACGCTTAGATTTCTGTAATTCTATTCTCTATCTACTCCCTAACACAAAACTTTCTTGACTCCAGGAACTGCAAAATACTGCTGCACGTATTGTCACACTTTCTTCTTGTAGAACCCACATCACCCCCATTCTCAAAACTCTTCACTGGCTCCCGGTTTGTGACCGAATTATTTTTAAGTTGTTGTTGCTGGTTTTCAATTCCTTGTATGACTGCTCCTTCCTACAATATCAAGTTGATTGTTAAGTATAAGCCTACAAGACATCTTCGTTCATCTCAATCCTCCTTATTAGCTGTCCCTAAGATGCGCAGTTCCTGGGGAGATAGAGCATTTTCTCATTCTGGTCCGTCCCTTTGGAATAAGCTGCCTCTTAGTATTCATAATTTAACTGCCCTTCATGACTTCAAAGTTGCTCTAAAAACCCATCTTTTTCTAAACAGTGCTATTTAATCATGTCAATGTAGCATAATAATTTGTGTTGTTTTAGTTTACTTTATTTTAGTTAAGAAAGTTATATTTTTGTGATAGTAATACATGTATGTACAGCGCCATGAGCGTCAGAGCCTGGCGGATACAGGCGCTATATAAATATCCATATTATTATTATTAATCAGGTAAAGAGCGTAGCAATCGAGCAAAGCGGTCGAGTGGAGCATAAATTGTCGTGGGGTGCAGGGGCAGAGCCCCCCGAAGCCCAGTGGTTTCAGGCATTCCATTACAGTCAGATAAGATAATTTTGATACCTTATTTGTGACACTGACAAGTCATATAATTGGCGTTGGGTCCAGGGGGCTGAGCCCTTTTCTTTGAATGGAATAGGCAGTCCACAAGTAGAATTAATAATAATAATAATAATATTGGATTCTTATATAGCGCACATATCGACCTTGCAAGGTCCTCAAGGCGCTCCAACATTACCCGGCTATGCTAGGCTGCCGATTTCGACGCTCACAGCATTTTAAGGAATTCCTTCTTACCGGTACCCATTTAACACCTGGGTGGAGAGTGGCAAATGTAGATCAATGTCTTGCCAAAGGACATTAGTGCCGCGGCGGGACTCGAACCGCGGACTAAAATAATTTAACATAAACAAAATTATCAGGATCAATTTATACAGATATTTATTATATTTATACAGTATAATGCACCCTTTTAGACATTTCTTTTGAATTCTCAATTTTATACAGGTATTATATTAATGGGTTGTTGAAGCTTGATTTAGAGAGAAATTTGACACATTGCAATCAGGTTGAGATGTGTGTGTTTATTTAGAATATAAAAGTAGGCATTGTACAGAGCTCTCACCTTACGTTCCACTTGATTCATTGGAAGGATGTTAGAGGGGTCCCCCCCCCCCCACCCCACCCCAATAACTTGCACACTAATCGTAATGAAAACAGGACTGTTGCAATGTATGGCTTTTACTGAACTTTTAATTGAGGGCTAACACCTTTGTTTTTGGCATATTTGTCTTGTATTAGATCAGTAACAATGGCTGAGAAGAAAGAAGAGGATAACTCATTGACTGATGCCATCTTAACCAAGTATGGAAACATGGAATCAGGTCTTCATGACATGGGAAAAGTTCAAGTCTATTTCAGTGCTCCAGCCAAGAAAATACAATCATCAAAAGGTATGGATCAAATCATTTGTCTCACCAAAGTAAATACAATCATCACAAGGTATGTATCAAATCATCTGTCTCACCAAAGAAAATACAATCATCACAAGGTATGTATCAAATCATCTGTCTCACCAAAGAAAATACAATCATCACAAGGTATGTATCAAATCATCTGTCTCAGCCAAGAAAATACAATCATCACAAGGTATGTATCAAATCATCTGTCTCAGCCAAGAAAATACAATCATCACAAGGTATGTATCAAATAATCTGTCTCAGCCAAGAAAATACAATCATCACAAGGTATGTATCAAATCATCTGTCTCAGCCAAGAAAATACAATCATCACAAGGTATGTATCAAATAATCTGTCTCAGCCAAGAAAATACAATCATCCCAAGGTATATATCAAATAATCTGTCTCAGCCAAGAAAATACAATCATCACAAGGTATGTATCAACTCATCTGTCTCAGCCAAGAAAATACAATCATCACAAGGTATGTATCAAATCATCTGTCTCAGCCAAGAAAATACAATCATCACAAGGTATGTATCAAATAATCTGTCTCAGCCAAGAAAATACAATCATCCCAAGGTATATATCAAATAATCTGTCTCAGCCAAGAAAATACAATCATCACAAGGTATGTATCAAATCATCTGTCTCAGCCAAGAAAATACAATCATCAAAAGGTATGTATCAAATTATCTGTCTCAGCCAAGGAAAATACAATCATCACAAGGTATGTATCAACTCATCTGTCTCAGCCAAGAAAATACAATCATCAAAAGGTATGTATCAAATCATATGTCTCAGCCAAGAAAATACAATCATCACAAGGTATGTATCAAATCATCTGTCTCAGCCAAGAAAATACAATCATCAAAAGGTATGTATCAAATCATCTGTCTCAGCCAAGGAAAATACAATCATCACAAGGTATGTATCAAATCATCTGTCTCAGCCAAGAAAATACAATCATCACAAGGTATGTATCAAATCATCTGTCACAGCTAAGAAATCATGAGGCTAAACAAGTTAAAATAATGATAATTCATTTATACAGCACATTGATTAATTGATGAAGTCTCTACAGTATGCACTTTACCTGGTAATTTAGAGTGTATATTAATTGCAAATATGTTTTATAAGGTGTGTATGAAACCATCAATGATATCATCCATTCTTTGGCCCACTTTTGTCTCTAGCAATGTTACACCTTTTGCTACATATTTCCAATAAAACATTTATAACATGGGTAGAAATCATCAAAAATGTCAAACGTTGTGTTTGGGAAGATCGTGAATTTGAATAGTTTGACCATTCGATCTAAGTTGTCTTAATTTGTATGGTGACAAAGCATTTGTTTTGCCCTCTTCTCTTCAGATGACACGATGGATCTCAAACTTCCCAGAATCTTGGTCCTGAATCGATACAAGATCAGAAATGCTGGAAATGAAGAAAGATTAGCTGAGCTCTGTAAATGTGTTACAGAGCTGGACTTGGCTGAGAATGCTTTAGATAACTGGAAAGAGGTGAGATAGATAGACATATGATTGTCATTGCATGAAGAAAGCTGATGTGTTTATTATTGTATGGGACTTGTAGACTTAAGGTTGAATTGATCTTTTTATGAGCAGTGTACATCAGAAAAGATAACTCTCCTAGATTGATATACTCAAACCTGCTTTGGTGACCACCTGTCTACAGCACTGTGGGCCTTTGTGTTTGATGCTGGGGTGATAGTAATGATAATATACCACCTGTCTACAGCACTGTGGGCCTTTGTGTTTCATGCTGGGGTGATAGTAATGATAATATACATTTGAAGAACAAAAGTATGGACTTCTGATGGAAAACAGATCAAATGTTTGGATGGTGCTGAAAGAGAGAGAGAAACATGGGGAGAGGTAGACGGGGAAGTGTGTCCACCCTGAAAATGAGTTTGGGTTATTTAAAAGCAAAATGTTTGAGGAAAATGCTGTAAAGAGTGATACTTCATATGAACATTTTAAAAGTCATAATCACGAGAATGTACTTTCTCCTTAAAGGTACTTTGTCCCATTTGCAGCCAACCTCAAATTCTGTGAAACTTTGCAGGAATTATGGATATGTCATGTATGTCCTATCTGTGAAATTTAAATGTTAGCAGTGTCCTAATATTCAAATTATGCAAGGAAACCCGTTTACTTGCTAGACTCCACTGTCAGACACTATCGAGTGACTGACTGGCTTTTTTTCTTCTTTGGTAATAACATATATAAAATGAGCTGTAAAGGGTACATGAGCATTTGTCTACATCAATAACCCACTTCTTGTGATGCCCAAAATTAAACTGAGTGAATCTTTGCGCCGCAAAAACGTATGACCATTCTGTACAATGGACTGAAAATCAAGACTGTTTTTTATTGGCTCTATAGCTCCTAAGTCGATTTGACAACTAATAGTCGTTATTTTCCCACTTGAGGACATTTTCAAGCCCCACCTTTTTTAGGGAAGTTCTAAATTAGTATTATCTTGCAAATGCCGTTAGAATTTAACCTTTTCATTTTGGGAGGCCTGCAAATTGGACATAGTACCTTTAAAAGTGCAATTTTATTAGTTAACCTTATAAAGTTGAAACATCGTTTTCTATAATTTATGTTATTGCAATAACTTTAGCATGCTTTGATTGTTTTTGTTTTTCTAATTATCTTCATAGATCCTGAAAATTGCCGGTCAGCTTCCAAGCTTAGAATTCTTCAACCTCAGCTCAAATCCATTACACCTAGCCACACCCTTAGCAACACCCTTAGCAACCACCAGTAGTCTTGTCAACATGGAGAATATACAGAGATTGGTGTTAAACAATACCAAACTACACTGGGAGTCCATACACAGTCTGCTTACAGTCATGCAAAGGTACGTAGCAGGTTATAACCCTAACCCTAACCAAGCTACACTGGGAGTCCATACACAGTCTTCTTACAGTCATGCAAAGGTACGTAGCAGGTTATAACCCTTACCCTAACCAAGCTACACTGGGAGTCCATACACAGTCTTCTTACAGTCATGCAAAAGTACGTAGCAGGTTATAACCCTAACCCTAACCAAACTACACTGGGAGTCCATACACAGTCTTCTTACAGTCATGCAAAGGTACGTAGCAGGTTATAACCCTAACCCTAACCAAGCTACACTGGGAGTCCATACACAGTCTGCTTACAGTCATGCAAAGGTACGTAGCAGGTTATAACCCTAACCCTAACCAAGCTACACTGGGAGTCCATACACAGTCTTCTTACAGTCATGCAAAGGTATGTAGCAGGTTATAACCCTAACCCTAACCAAGCTACACTGGGAGTCCATACACAGTCTGCTTACAGTCATGCAAAGGTACGTAGCAGGTTATAACCCTTACCCTAACCAAGCTACACTGGGAGTCCATACACAGTCTTCTTACAGTCATGCAAAGGTACGTAGCAGGTTATAACCCTTACCCTAACCAAGCTACACTGGGAGTCCATACACAGTCTTCTTACAGTCATGCAAAGGTACGTAGCAGGTTATAACCCTAACCCTAACCAAACTACACTGGGAGTCCATACACAGTCTTCTTACAGTCATGCAAAGGTACGTAGCAGGTTCCTACCCTAACCCTAACCAAGCTACACTGGGAGTCCATACACAGTCTTCTTACAGTCATGCAAAGGTACGTAGCAGGTTATAACCCTAACCCTAACCAAACTACACTGGGAGTCCATACACAGTCTGCTTACAGTCATGCAAAGGTACGTAGCAGGTTATAACCCTAACCCTAACCAAGCTACACTGGGAGTCCATACACAGTCTTCTTACAGTCATGCAAAGGTATGTAGCAGGTTATAACCCTTACCCTAACCAAGCTACACTGGGAGTCCATACACAGTCTGCTTACAGTCATGCAAAGGTACGTAGCAGGTTATAACCCTAACCCTAACCAAACTACACTGGGAGTCCATACACAGTCTTCTTACAGTCATGCAAAGGTACGTAGCAGGTTATAACCCTAACCCTAACCAAGCTACACTGGGAGTCCATACACAGTCTTCTTACAGTCATGCAAAGGTACGTAGCAGGTTATAACCCTAACCCTAACCAAGCTACACTGGGAGTCCATACACAGTCTGCTTACAGTCATGCAAAGGTACGTAGCAGGTTATAACCCTAACCCTAACCAAGCTACACTGGGAGTCCATACACAGTCTTCTTACAGTCATGCAAAGGTACGTAGCAGGTTATAACCCTAACCCTAACCAAGCTACACTGGGAGTCCATACACAGTCTGCTTACAGTCATGCAAAGGTACGTAGCAGGTTATAACCCTAACCCTAACCAAACTACACTGGGAGTCCATACACAGTCTTCTTACAGTCATGCAAAGGTACGTAGCAGGTTATAACCCTTACCCTAACCAAGCTACACTGGGAGTCCATACACAGTCTGCTTACAGTCATGCAAAGGTACGTAGCAGGTTCCTACCCTAACCCTAACCCTAAACAATACCAAACTACACTGGGAGTCCATACACAGTCTTCTTACAGTCATGCAAAGGTACGTAGCAGGTTATAACCCTAACCCTAACCAAACTACACTGGGAGTCCATACACAGTCTTCTTACAGTCATGCAAAGGTACGTAGCAGGTTATAACCCTAACCCTAACCAAACTACACTGGGAGTCCATACACAGTCTTCTTACAGTCATGCAAAGGTACGTAGCAGGTTATAACCCTAACCCTAACCAAGCTACACTGGGAGTCCATACACAGTCTGCTTACAGTCATGCAAAGGTACGTAGCAGGTTCCTACCCTAACCCTAACCCTAAACAATACCAAACTACACTGGGAGTCCATACACAGTCTTCTTACAGTCATGCAAAGGTACGTAGCAGGTTATAACCCTTACCCTAACCAAACTACACTGGGAGTCCATACACAGTCTTCTTACAGTCATGCAAAGGTACGTAGCAGGTTATAACCCTAACCCTAACCAAACTACACTGGGAGTCCATACACAGTCTGCTTACAGTCATGCAAAGGTACGTAGCAGGTTATAACCCTAACCCTAACCAAGCTACACTGGGAGTCCATACACAGTCTTCTTACAGTCATGCAAAGGTACGTAGCAGGTTATAACCCTTACCCTAACCAAACTACACTGGGAGTCCATACACAGTCTTCTTACAGTCATGCAAAGGTACGTAGCAGGTTATAACCCTTACCCTAACCAAGCTACACTGGGAGTCCATACACAGTCTTCTTACAGTCATGCAAAGGTACGTAGCAGGTTATAACCCTAACCCTAACCAAGCTACACTGGGAGTCCATACACAGTCTGCTTACAGTCATGCAAAGGTACGTAGCAGGTTATAACCCTAACCCTAACCAAGCTACACTGGGAGTCCATACACAGTCTGCTTACAGTCATGCAAAGGTACGTAGCAGGTTATAACCCTAACCCTAACCAAGCTTCACTGGGAGTCCATACACAGTCTTCTTACAGTCATGCAAAGGTACGTAGCAGGTTATAACCCTAACCCTAACCAAGCTTCACTGGGAGTCCATACACAGTCTGCTTACAGTCATGCAAAGGTACGTAGCAGGTTATAACCCTAACCCTAACCAAGCTACACTGGGAGTCCATACACAGTCTTCTTACAGTCATGCAAAGGTACGTAGCAGGTTATAACCCTAACCCTAACCAAGCTACACTGGGAGTCCATACACAGTCTGCTTACAGTCATGCAAAGGTACGTAGCAGGTTATAACCCTAACCCTAACCAAGCTACACTGGGAGTCCATACACAGTCTGCTTACAGTCATGCAAAGGTACGTAGCAGGTTCCTACCCTAACCCTAACCAAACTACACTGGGAGTCCATACACAGTCTTCTTACAGTCATGCAAAGGTATGTAGCAGGTTCCTACCCTAACCCTAACCAAGCTACACTGGGAGTCCATACACAGTCTTCTTACAGTCATGCAAAGGTACGTAGCAGGTTCCTACCCTAACCCTAACCCTAAACAATACCAAACTACACTGGGAGTCCATACACAGTCTTCTTACAGTCATGCAAAGGTACGTAGCAGGTTCCTACCCTAACCCTAACCAAGCTACACTGGGAGTCCATACACAGTCTTCTTACAGTCATGCAAAGGTACGTAGCAGGTTCCTACCCTAACCCTAACCAAACTACACTGGGAGTCCATACACAGTCTGCTTACAGTCATGCAAAGGTATGTAGCAGGTTCCTACCCTAACCCTAACCAAGCTACACTGGGAGTCCATACACAGTCTTCTTACAGTCATGCAAAGGTATGTAGCAGGTTCCTACCCTAACCCTAACCAAACTACACTGGGAGTCCATACACAGTCTTCTTACAGTCATGCAAAGGTACGTAGCAGGTTATAACCCTAACCCTAACCAAACTACACTGGGAGTCCATACACAGTCTGCTTACAGTCATGCAAAGGTATGTAGCAGGTTCCTACCCTAACCCTAACCAAACTACACTGGGAGTCCATACACAGTCTGCTTACAGTCATGCAAAGGTACGTAGCAGGTTCCTACCCTAACCCTAACCAAACTACACTGGGAGTCCATACACAGTCTTCTTACAGTCATGCAAAGGTATGTAGCAGGTTATAACCCTAACCCTAACCAAACTACACTGGGAGTCCATACACAGTCTTCTTACAGTCATGCAAAGGTACGTAGCAGGTTATAACCCTAACCCTAACCAAACTACACTGGGAGTCCATACACAGTCTTCTTACAGTCATGCAAAGGTACGTAGCAGGTTATAACCCTAACCCTAACCAAGCTACACTGGGAGTCCATACACAGTCTGCTTACAGTCATGCAAAGGTACGTAGCAGGTTCCTACCCTAACCCTAACCCTAAACAATACCAAACTACACTGGGAGTCCATACACAGTCTGCTTACAGTCATGCAAAGGTATGTAGCAGGTTCCTACCCTAACCCTAACCAAACTACACTGGGAGTCCATACACAGTCTTCTTACAGTCATGCAAAGGTATGTAGCAGGTTATAACCCTAACCCTAACCAAACTACACTGGGAGTCCATACACAGTCTTCTTACAGTCATGCAAAGGTACGTAGCAGGTTATAACCCTAACCCTAACCAAGCTACACTGGGAGTCCATACACAGTCTGCTTACAGTCATGCAAAGGTACGTAGCAGGTTATAACCCTAACCCTAACCAAACTACACTGGGAGTCCATACACGGTCTGCTTACAGTTATGCAAAGGTAGCCTTAACCTTAACCCTAATCACCATCTTTTTTGTATGAGAATGTTGTTTTATAGCAAGAAACAGGCCTGATAATCCCCAGTTTAAATCTGTTTTCTGACTTCTTCTTTTTTTCCCTGATCTTTGAAGGAAAAAAAGAAAAAAAAAAAATTTTTTTTAGATTGCTCACTGTCACTCCTGAAGAAACTACTGCTTTCAATTATGCAATTTTACCTGTGTGGGAAATATGTCAGCAGATTGAAAATGCCAAAGGAAATATTCCTTAAAATGCAATTTGTAAGTAATTTGGGCCTCTTTAGTGAACACATAAACCTTTATGTAAAAGCATACCGGTAATAGAATTCAACGCACTTGACATTGATAATTTTGCTTAAATTTGTTATTTCTTCAAGCATGTCAACATTTAGGTAGATTAGATCTATTCCAGTTTTGTTTTTTGTTTTTTTGTAATGGCAATCAGTCAAGAACTGACCATTCAACCTCTCTTTTATACTCGCTTGAAAATGCTTGTATTTCTATCCTGTTACTCATCATTAACATGATCACATATTTCTTATAAACTTTTTGATTGATTGATATGAATATAATACCATATAAGGAGTGATTTTGTAGATTGCCTTGATACGACACTAAACTATGTAGAATAATAACATTCTTTTCACCTCTTTTCAAACTTGCCTGCAGTATTAAAGCCCCACTGTCCTACTTGTAGCTACTTGCTCCCTCTATATAGAAAACTTCCCCAATTGGTGCCTGTTGGTCCCCCATGATCCCTATTTCTTATGTCATTTGAGAGCTGAGTTGATGAGATAGCAAACTGTCAGTGACCTTGCTGTGTGGTCTAATCCCTCCTGGACAAACTAGTGCAGATAAGCTTTAAGCCATGAAGCAATTATTTTACAGAAATCTTTCTTTTTCAATTTTGTTTAGGTTGAAGGAGCTTCATCTCAGTCTGAATGAGTTTAGCAGTGTTTCATCAGGCGACTGCACTCATACCAATCTCAAGCTACTTCAATTCAATAATAATCAAGTGAAGGAGTGGGAAGATGTGAAGAAGCTTGGTGCAATGTTCCCTGGCCTAGAAACACTCATACTCATGGCGAACCCTATCACGAGACTAGGAGCTCGTCCTGGAGAGGCGTTCCCTAATCTGAAGGTGGTGTGTCTGAGCGAGACATTGGTAGAGTCATGGGATGAACTAGACAAGTTGAATGAATTCCCATCTCTGAAAGAAGCCCTGGTGAAAGGAATTCCCTTGCTATGTGTAACAGGGAAGGGGGATAAAGCAGAGAAGCAGATCAGACAGCTGGCTGTTGCTAGGTTAGGCAAGCTGGAGAGTCTCAATAGAAGTGTTATTACAGAGCCAGAGAGGGAGCAAGCAGAGAGACTGTTTATTAGACAGTTCAGACATAGTGATGTCAGACCTACTAGGTAAGTCCTTGTAGATGGTCTGGGCCCTGCTTCATAAAACTTGATATCAATAACAAGTTACAAGCTACTGTTATAAGCTACTGAAATCATGGCATCTGATTGGCTGAGAGCAAATTTGTCTTAGAAATATACAATTTGTATAGATAACAAGTTTTATGAAACAGGCCCCTGGTTTATTTTAGGCTAGTAAAACAAGTGTAGCTTTTCAGAGGAAAGAAATAACATGTTTAAGACATGATTCTAATCATCTTGTGAAAATTTGTATTAATGTTATTTATAATCCTTTGTTACTGAAGTTGTAGACATGGGGGTGGGGGGGGGGGGGTCTGGTTACCCACTTACTGGGATTTCGGGTATGAATACACTGTACCTTTTCTATGGGGAATTTTCCAAAATTCAATGCTGAAATCGTCGGCCGGCTGGCAGAAGGGCGTTAGCGTGCGAGCGACTCAAAAACTTCTTTTCAAATTATTTGCATTTAAAGATTTGTTTTATATTTAAACTGCTTTCCGTCCCGAAAATTGGTTTAAAACATAAAAGACTAATAGAGATGTTGTAGTAGAACACGGCCTCAATTTGTTTTCGGAAATAAGTCAGTTTTATAAAATGAGGTGATTTAGTGCTAACGCCCTTCTGCTTATAGTTTCATTATTGACCTGAAATTTAAGCTAACGCCCTTCTGCCACCCAGGTGACGAAATATACATGTACTGTAGCTGCATTCATTGTGGAAAACCGGGTTCCCAGTCTCCATCCTTTCTCATTCTAAAGCATATACCTTGAAGGCCACACCTCGCCATTGTGGTGATGAAGATCCCATAGATAGTATGGTGTGGCAGGGTTAAGGGGGGTCCCATGGGACCCATTTAAAAACCAAGGTTGGATAGTTTTTGTTTGAAGCTTAGGAGTGTGGGAGCATCAATGGCAGTTAGTGGCATACTTGATTAAGACATTGCCAGATGAATTTACATGTTAAAGGGAAAGTCCACCCCCAAAATAAGTTTGTTTCGATAGAGGCAGAATAATAAGAAAATCAGGTGAGTGAAAGTTTTAGCAAATTCTGAATGAAAATAAGAAAATTATGAATTATTGAAGTTGTGATCAATCAAATACAAATTGGCAACTCTGTGACTTATCATACGAGCTCTCCTTCATTTGCTTTGTGCATAATATTCCATAAAATCATGTTTTCTTCGTTATTGATGACGGAATATATATTTGTTCCTTGCAGGGGCAGTATAGAAACATATTTGCAATTATTATATTTAGGGTGCATGTATGGTTGAAATTCTTGAGGGAAAATGAAAATTTTAGATTTTTTTAGTACTGAACAAATGGAAGTTGAGCTCGCATGATACGTCATAGAGTTGCCAATTTGTGTTTGATTGATCACAACTTCAAAAATCCTAACTTCCTTATTTTTAATCGGAATTTGCTCAAACTTTCACTGACTTGTTTCTCTCATTTTTTTACTCCTATTAAAACTAACTTAATTTCAGGGTGGACTTCCCCTTTAATGAGAGATTGAGTAAGAGCTAGTATAACCATCATTTTTATATTCTTTTTTTCTGCAACAGGTATGATGAGCTGATTGCTAAACATGGACACATTCAAGAGCTTGCCAAGGTCGATTTAACTCCACGAACTACATTCAACTGTAAGATCACTTATGATGATACATCCTATGACATCATCGTCAATGTGAAGGATAATGTTAAGCAGCTCAACAAGCAAATCAGAGCCATCGTCGGTCTACCAACAAACAAATTCCGCACATATTTTATTTCTACCGATCCAACACACTTGAATAATAACGAGTGGCTTCGCTACCCAAATCGTTTCTTGCATAATTACAAGATTGGTGATGGTGATACTTTTGATATTGGCCCTGCATAGAGAAACTTTTTAATTGAAGATCTGGATACTGGCTACTACTAGAAGCTGTCACAGGTTAAATTTATAGCATGAGTTATTTTGTCAAGTTCAAGGCTCTGTAACACAAAGCTTAGGAATTGATCGTACAATTGATTTCTCGATTGATTTTTGCGATTGATTTTTGCGATTGGTCGCACATAGTGATCAATTGCTAAGCTTTGTGTTATGGAGCCTTGAAATCTAGAGCTAGATAGCTATGAATTTAACTTTTCATTTGTATGTTTACGGTACATGAGTTGTTCATTGTTGTGCTTACAGAGGGGTAATTTCAGCTGATATTGGAGTACTCATCGCATTGATTACTGAATTTTCTCTTTTTCCTCGGCCTAATAAAGGGATCATCCAATTGATGTACGTGATGGTTGGGTTCATTTAGGAATGTCTCCTAATAAAGTGACAGATTCCTTGAAGAGATGGGTCATGAGAAAGGTCTTATTCCAAGCATATGGTATCAGAGCAAGCTTGTATGCAAGAGAATTAACATCTCGACTATGAAGCATTATGAAGCACGATAGAGAGTAAGCTTGGGGTTACTATCACAAATGCCTTGTTGTTGTTTCTGTCTCAGCTTGTGATTTTATGACCATTGGACCATAATACCCTGTTACCCTTGACTGCCATACATTTAAATCAAAATCTTTTTTTCAGCTAATGGTGCTACCAAGATAGAATGAGCTGAGAAGAGAAGAAATAATTATTTCAGATGTATGAATTTTAAACATGTTTTGAAACTTTTGAAACGATATATCTGTCCATTTGATGTGCAATAATTGACTTGCATTTATGAAAATTAATATATATTAAATTGTGTATAAGCTCACTGACTATTTCCAATAATGTGTTTGTTTTACAATTGATGAATGCATTGTTTATGTGGTGTTGATGTATATAATAATAATAATAATAATAATAATAATAATAGCCTAATAGTCCACTCCAAATTTTATTAAACCGAAACGGAAATTCTTTTTGCCCAATTGATCGTGAGCCCGGCAGCCACTGAGCAGCGCCAGATCGACGTTGCTCTATCCCTTATTGTTGAACGCCAAATAAGGTAGCAACAACTCCCATCTTTTAACGTCTTTTGGTATGACGCGGCCGGGGTTCGAACCCACGACCTCCCGGCTGTGAGGCGGACGCTCTACTGACTGTGCCAACACTCCGGTGATATAGGTTGTTATTAACTCAATAAGTCATTTGGCAAGACACTAATTTGTATTTGTATTGCTACTCTGTTTGCAAGGGAAGAAAATGGGATCCCTGTAATAGGCAAAGGTGTGAAAACGTTGTCTTGGATACATACATGTATTTGTGATATACATAAAGCTTTTAAACTAAAGGGGGAGGGGGGGGGGGGGCTTTATAGCAGCTCCCCCTTTGGAAATATCTTGATCACTTTAAATACCCTACTTATAAAATAAGCAGCGTTCTTATGTGGCTTATTTTCTCTTTAATCTTCTCCATCTTTTTATTAGCCTGCTAAACTTTTGAAAATTGGATGTACCTTTGCGAAGTCACATGACCTTTTGTAACTTCACTTCAGCACAAAAAACATTTATTATAATTGTTCACAAACCAATCAAAAAATTTTGATTTTGTTGTCTCTTTTAAAGTGATAATCATTTCCAGTTAAAAGTCAATCTGTATCCGTTATATCCAAATAGTAAAGGGGGTGTGAACTGACGACATTACATGTTTTTCCCTTAGCCTGACTCGGAGCAAATCTGGTATAATACAACTACAGGCGCGACCGCAGCAATCACATGTGTGCGACATACGCAAAACCAAAGCGTGAGGAGAACTGATCCATGTAGAGATTAAGTCGCTGACTACTGTTAATCAAGTCCATTCATTTACGTGCATTTGTCCAAAAGGAGACGTAGATGGTGTTTCCCTGTTATTCGTCAGTTTACACCCCCTTTAATTCAGAAGAAACCATCATATAGAATAGAACTGTTAAGATCAGTTCAAAGAACTTACTAACAGCTTTTGATTTGTTCTTCCATCTCATTGTCTGCATTGAGACAGAGGAATAACAAACACTGATTCATTGTTACATGTGTGTATGTGCAAATGTGATGTGTGAAAATGCACATTCTTATGCATTAATGTGTGTGCTTCAAAAAACGGTTGTACTTTACAAAGTTTTATTACCTGGAATTTTGTTAATTATGTATTTTTCAATTAAATTAAATGAAATTCTATTTTCGAATTCACTTTTTCCTCTCTTAGTGTGTTCATTATTTTTGTTTTGTGTACAGATATTGATAGGACGATGTGGGGATGGGGATGGGGATTGATGCAGGGCTCCCAGCTAAACGGGAATAAGTAAAAACATTTTAAACAAGTTAACTTCTTGCAGTTGGGGGGAAAGCCTGGATATTCTATTCTATTTGGGGATGGTTGATGATAATCAACTCTAAAATGAGACCTGGAGAGGTGTTGGTGTAAGTGGATTTTTTTTCTTCTTCAGTATGAAAGAAGGGAAAGATATGGTGCATGTCAAACACGTATTCCATCTTTAGGTAAATCCCCCTCAACTCCTGCCAGTTGCTGTAAAATTACTATGGATCAATTGAAACCAAATGGAGATTATTTGTGATAACAGCAGCAATCAAATTTGATTCACACCTTCCTAGATTTAAATACATGCATTGGGAAAATATCACAATTTGCCACTCTCTCTCCCTCTGGTACATCCGTCTCATCTTATTCAAACATTATAACCTCACCCATCACATAGTGTCTTTCACCGATTTCACAAAGGAGATTTAAACCCTCATGTACATGACTCATGGTTTAAGATTAAGTATACCCTGCCTTGCACACGTCTAATATTGGACCTCTGACTGTGTGTTTCACTTATTTTGGGCTAATTCTAGACCATGGGTTATGAAAATGAAGATTTAAACCATGGGTTGAATTTAAACCTCCTTTGTGAATTTGGGCCACACTGTCTCACATTCAACGAAAGTCATTGCATCTCCTGTTATCTGTAGGCCTACATGCAGATCACTGTTCTCTAATGCCCCGGTGACACTTGCCCGCATTTTGCTTTGCGCATAGACACATACTCTTGCGTGCCAATGCAGGAGGATGCGGGCGGACGCGGGCCGTGCGTGAAATGCGTGACAGAATTTTCAAAATGTTCAAAAATTTGGCACGACAATTTTGTTTGGCAACGTTCGTGAACTATGCGCACCCTATGCGCTGCCTAGTCGTGCCAGTGCGCACCGATGCGTGTCCGATGGCCTAGTGGCACGCATATTCACGACTAGTTAACGACTAATTTGCGCATAATTTACGCATTGGCTGCGCATACTTCCCGGGCAGTTTTCGCATGCCATGCGCATAGTCTACGAATGCGTGTCCTAGTGGTTACGCATTGCATGAACTATTCGTAAATTAGACGTGACTCTTCGTGCCGCTGCGTGTCACTAATTGGCACGCCACAGAGCGGGGCAGGGCGGGACCAAAATGCGGGCAAGTGTCAACGAGGCATTACTCTAACCCCTAACCCGCTAAAAAATCAACAAAATCAGGAAGTTTATTCAGATATGAATATACTCCCCCGAGCATGGATTTAAATTATTACTTTGTTCAAATATCCAGTGCAATGCTCACTACAACTCGTAATACAATCCCTTCTATCTATCTATCTATATAATAATAATAATAATAATGGGTTCTTGTATAGCGCTCATGTCAGCTCTAGCATTTCAAGGAATAAATTCCTACCCGGTACCCATTTACTTCACCTGGGTGGAGTGTGGCAAATGTAGATCAATGTCTTGCCAAAGGACATTAGTGTGGCGTCGGGACATCATCTACCATGAGCCATCATTCAAATAAACTGAACAAAACAAACAGTAAACAAAGTGTTTCAGGGGAACGTTAAAAACAATTTATTATTCAAGGACAACCAGAACACATTTATTACTTTTTAATCACAAATTCTAAAATGTTTAATGTTTATTAAAATCAACTGCCCTAGAACAGTTGGTCATTTAAAAAAATTCTGATATTTTGCTTGGGGACAGAGAAGAGAGGTACAAGATATATGTTAGTTGATGTTTATCTCTACACCAAACAAAGTATAGTGCATACTAATGTGCATTGATGAGCTATGCCTTCAACCATAGTCTACACATCAACTGACATAACTCTCTAAATAAATTTCTTATTTCCAAACAATTCACCAAAAAGATAATCTTAACTAGCCGAAAATGGTATCCTGTACCTCATTTTTGTTAATGAACTCTGAATAATTTGTGATAACATCAATGCTTACTAAACTTGCATTTTCTTATATGAAATGCTTCTATATCACCAAATTCACAATATAATTCACCAATTAATAGTTTGATTACAATCATGACGACACCAATGCTACTACCCCGTAGAAGCCTTCTTCTCTCTCAAGCTCATTGATAACCTTGCATTAACATCAACAATATTTCATTCACACAAAGTTGTCACCTGTAAATTCAATACTAACAATATATCTGCATACTTAAACATCAATAAGAGTTTGAATAGAATGATGTTTGAATCAATTGAGTTTCTTAAAGAATACTTTTCAATAAGTTTTCTATTTTCAGTCATTTATAAAGCTTTACAATGGAAATTTCAAGTATTAAAATAGTACCATGACAGAATAAAAATCAAATGTATTATGAATAAAAATTTGAGTTTGTTTGAAATTCATATCGTGATGAAGTATGGGTATCTTAAAAAAGCAAGAGTTCCGTGAAGAATCCGAGAGAATGTTTTTCCTGGGCAATGTTTAGTTTGCTTGCACAGGTTATCAGCGAACTTGAGAATGAGAGCTTGGGCTGCTGGCATCTCCAATCGATCTTCCTTGATGGGACGAGAGGGAAGATCTGGTTTAGGGGTTAGGAGCTCAGGAGGAGGGAGAGATTTGAGGATAGCTGTCGTGATAGGGGATGGGGCGGGGCGGTGTGCCCGAAGGTATGACCGTTGACTGGCTGTGTAAGGGTGGAAGTTGAGTGGATGGCTGGATGATTGAGTCATCCTGATTGGTTCAGATGAGGAGGGAGGAGGAGGAGGGGTCGGAGAGGGTGTGGTGGTCTCTGGTACGGGGTAGAAGCATTGGGATTGAAGGAGTCAGTAGTATGTCTCCAGCTCAACCCATCCACCAGGGTTATGACGGAGGATGAAGCGACGACACTCATCATAGACAAAGATGAGAAGAGAGAATGGGAAAGCAACAAACCACCATCCGATCCTGAGTGGGTACATACGAAGACCATTCTCTAGGCCAGGGCAGTAGGACAGGAACGCAGCAAGAGCAGTCTCAAAGAACAGACCAAAGTTCAACACCCAGTTGCTGTAAAGAACAAACATTAACATGTATCAAACACAATGGCATCATAAACACACATGGCATCAATGGTGATGTTAAAGGTGTAGACCAGTTCTGGTCATGCGATTGCATTGTGAAAAAAAGTTATGGAATCGATCAGAAAATTGATCTAGCATATAGGTATTGGTGTGTACTGCAAGGTTCTGGAATCAACAAAATGATAAGAAATTGGCCTTGTCTTGGTAAAGCACTGTTCACAAAAAGATGTATATGGGACTACAAGAATATGTTACTTGCCATATTTAGAATATTAAGGCATTTGAAGAGCCATGCTTTTCAGGGAACAAATTATTGTTCACCTCTTCCCAGAACTTAACCTTCTCTTCCAAGATGTATCAAACACATCATCATAAACACACATGGTATAGCAATGGTAATGTTAAAAATAGTCATTACAAAGTCATTACACAGGCAGTATGATATCTGAACTGAAGTTACTTCATAATACATGCTCTAACTTGGAACTTAGAATGACATGAAGTGTATTTATACATATCCTAATTCTCCAATGCCTGCACAGTTCCGCCAACTGAAATGTACTCAATCTTTGTACTGCAACTTCATTCATCATAAATGGGGCACAGTCCATATATTAACCCCTTACATGCCACAGGCAGCCAAAACTCAAGGAAAGTCTGGACTGAAATAGCAACTTATTACTTTGGGTACATGAATAATAAAGGTATATTTTCATGAAACGAAAGAAAAATAATCCACAAGTCTGACTCTTGCTAGTTAGTTTCTGATAATGTTAGATAGCTCAGACAGATACCGAGATGTGATTGGTCCATAGCTCGTCACGTGATATCAATTCCAGTGTTATATTAACCAGCTGGTGAAATGAATATATTTTTAATCAATGCATGTCACCCTCTTGAGGACAGTCTGTCACCAATTACCAAATTACACCAATACAGAGGGTCATTTTTTTTAGTATGAGGGTTGCATTCTGACTTACTTCATTCCTTGATGGATGAGTGAGTTACGTCGTGTCTTACAGATGATGACATCAGCCCATTGTACAACCACGATAGAGGCAAAGAAAGCAGTGTGACAGGTGTATTCAAGCTGCTTACGCTGGTAGAAGCCCTGTCAACAAATCAATAGAAATGATACAGATATTAGATACATGGTAATGCAAGGTTTAGATACTGCTTTAATGGGCTAGTATAGAGTACCGAAGCTGTGACATCATAATTTAGAATTTCCCAATTTTTTTCTTCCTTTTCCAACGAGCATCAAAAATAATGTCCAAATGTCGAAAACCAATTGAATATGTTAGGTATTGGCCGAGATAAGCCTATCTGAATGAATATGTTTCCTATAGGAACTCAGTGTTATTTTTTTGCTCTGGTATCAAATGTATTCAAATGTATGTGGCAAATCTGTAGTATTTTAATGAAATGATAGACATTGAATACTTTCTGATACACATTTGTTCATAGAGTATTACTATGAATCAGGGATGCCAGCTAGAATTGAAATTGAAAATCACCTAGAATGAGCTTTTTGTACATTAAAAAAGCCTAAATTATGGACTGGAAACAACTTGCCAGGGCCTGAATTCAGGCTATATTGCATAAAAATTGGCATCTCTAATTGTAATGTTAAACGTAACTTACCCATTGTTGTCCATAGGAATCCTCCACATTCAGAACTGCCTTGTCGTCCCACTTGCTACGCAACATGATGAGATCATTGGGTAGGAATCCATTCTCACCCATGATCACAAAGTAGGCAAAGAAACCAGCGGAAGCTTGGATCATACCTAGAAAACAAACATTTACAACATTCAGTTAGCTTTAACTTCTCAAACCAGCTGAAGCTTGGATCATACCTAGAAAACAAACATTTAGAGAACATTCAGTTAGCTTTACCTTCTTTAATTTTATATTTCATAAAGATTTCTGTAACATGCACCGTTCCTATGTGAAGAATTTTCATGCATTTCATATAATAAATATCATGATGGATATACAGAGAATTTTTCGTGATACAATATTTTAATTTTTTTTGTAAATGTGTTTTGATCCCCCCCCCCCCCCCCCCCCAGGATGGATAGGGTTAGGGTTAGTGGTGTATGTGGTGTTATTATTTCCCATTACATCTATGGAACGTGTTATAATAATAAGTTCTTATACAGCACACATGTCCGTCACATTGTGACGATCCTGGCACTGGCCCGATTATTACCCTGGCTTTAGCAAGGCAGCCACTGCGGTGGTCTCGCATTTCAAGGAATTAATTCCTGCCAGGTACCTATTTACATCACCTGGGTTGAGTGTGGCAAATGTAGATCAATGTCTTGCCAAACGACATTAGTGCTATGTTATGAATGTTTTGCTCACCAATTTGTCCGTAGGAAACACTGATGAGACGTTCGTTGACAAGCTTGTCATTCTGAGGATCACGAGGTCGACGTTTCATGATATCAGACTCAGCCTCTTCATAGGCAAGGGAGATGGCAGGTACCTGTATGCAGCAAGATAGACACAATATATTCAAATTTAAATTTTATTGATTTCAATCCAAACAGATCATTCTCAAGTTGTGTACATTGGATAACAAATTTTGAAGTTAAAGTGTAACATAGATAATTGAGTCTAAGAGTAAAGATAACAATAACCAGGAGTGACACAAATTAATGCATGTCTCACCTGAAATACAGTCAAACAGTCAAACCTCTACTTTAGTGACCACCTGTCTACAAAGACCACATTTTTTGTTTGTTTCCCTTGAAAATGTTTCTCATTGAAACATGTACTAAAGGAACCTGTCTACAAAGACCACTTTTTGTGTTTACCTTGGGTGGTCGCTATATTTAGGTTTGACTGTTATGAAAGTACTACTCATTTTGTGGGATACTCCCTGCAAGATTGTCTTCAAGTATACCATTATAAGAAAATTTACAAAAATGAGACCACCAAATTCGGATCTACACCAAAACGTTTTGAAGTAGACTATAACAAGAAAATGAAAATAAGCCCAGTAGTTTGGGCACTACTTTTAAATGTATTGAAGAAGAATATGAGGAAATCAACATAAAATGAAATGAACCAGATTGGGGCCATTACAGAAGTAAACCATTTAAAGGTTGGTGCTGGGTAGAATCATTCTGACCAAATATATGGATTCATTGTGATAAACCAGGCCATGTTGAAGGTCTGCACCCAATATACTGTCTGTAATGTTTACTGGGTTTGTACTTACCAGATCAGTACCCAGATCAATACAGAGGATGGTGACGACACCCAATGGTAGAGGAATAGAAGCCAAGATGAAGATAAGGAAAGGACTGATTTCAGGGATGTTACTGGTTAGAGTGTATGCAATCGATTTCTTCAAGTTGTCAAAGATCAGACGACCTGTCAAGGATAGATTGAAGAAACAGAAGATTAGCATTTCATTTCTTAAAGGGATCGTTTAACAATGTTTCCAGTTTTACAAAAATCTGAGATGCATGGCCCTACATGTTATCAGTGTCTGTGATATGGTTTAATATTGAAGCCCTAAAAAACTGTGCTTCAAAATGATCATGAAATGCTTCAAAAAAGAAAAAATCTTTGAGTGACCGGTTTTACCATACTCATTTCCCCAACAGTAGTGTTATCAAAAACTGTTCAAAACCGTTTGGCGAACACTCTTTGACACTTCTAATTCCAATAAATATCTTGATAATCATGTTATGTTAGTTGAGAGCTTATTTGATGAGATAACCACCTGTCAGTGACCATGCAGAGAGGTGTAATCCCCCTGGCTAAACTAACTAGTGCAGATGGGCTTAAGAACAGAATTTCAGACAAAGTCTATACTCATTGGATATTGTCGGTTATTCAGATTATTGATGAATATAAGATGACGTGGATCAATCAAATGATTGGTTGAAAGCGTACATTGCATAATTGGATAATGACCGGTCATTAAACAATTCTTATGACCAGTAAGTAAAATCACGTTATAAAACATCATTTTATGAAACAAATGAAACGTAATCTTATAAAACAAATAATACACATCATTTTGTTCGGGCATTATTAAAATTACCCCCACTCGGTGCCTTCAAAACAGTCCAAACACCCTCAGCGTGTTAGACTGTTCCAAAGGTACCTTGTGTGGGTAATTCTTACTAATGCCCTCACTGCTGTGTATAATTTGTATACTATATTGATTAGAAATACCTTCTTCAACACCGGTAACAATAGAGGCAAAGTTATCATCGAGCAAGATCATATCAGCTGCTTGTTTGGAGACATCACTCCCAGCGATACCCATAGCAACACCAATATCAGCCTTCTTGAGAGCAGGAGAATCATTGACACCATCACCAGTCACAGCTACGATGGCACCAGCACGCTGACAACCTTCAACAATGATCAACTTCTGCTGAGGTGAAGTACGAGCAAAGACGATCTCAGGATGGTCAGCCAAGATGGCGTCGAGATCTTCACGGGATATGTCTTTCAGCTCAGTACCGTGGACAACAATCGCTTTAGCATCCCTGAAGAGAAGACACAAGCAAAATTTAAAATTATTTTCTTTACTCTTTATTCTATTTTTCTTTTCTTCTCAAATTCACTCTCCTTGTAAGTCTCTAGAATCTCATATTATACTACTTCAACATGCCAATCCCCTATATTATATACTGATGCACAGACTAGTATCTATTTGAACAAGCATAATCTACAAGTGTTATGAACAGCACGACACAGATGGTATATTACATACAAACACAAACAAAAGGTGGAAAGTCCCCCATCCCCATCCCCGGGAGAAAAAAAAATGAAGACATGTCTTCACATACACAGAGAAGTTTCATTATTAATAATCAGTCATATTTTGCATTCCATTTTTATCTCAGAATATTCATGCAGGTCTGCCAATGTAATTTTGACTTTGTTGCAGAATACTTTTTCAAGTTCATCAGGTGATAATTAAAAATCTAAAATCAACAAGTATTTACAACAAATTCTCCACAAACATCCGAGGTTTGTTTTGTGTAAAAATTAGGTCTACCTAATCAAATGATATAAATTATCTTTATTCGTACACAAAAAGAAACTGCTAGGGCCTCCAATAGACCAGTTTACAGTAAGCAATGACCCCGATGATCCACAAATCTTCAAACATGAAGAGGTCCCACTTTGTACAATTTGAAATAATCACTCCTACAGCGATGGAGGTGCTACATACATAGCCTTCGTTTCCCCTTTTCAAAGTATACTTCCAGCTGTGTATCGTGGAGTGCACTGCTTGTGCATAAATGAATAATGATTACATAACTTTCATGAGCACGTATCCTGTATTTCGTCTCTTGTGCATTTCAAAATTTGTTCTGCAATGACCTTTATCTGCTCATGCTCAGACTGCAACCGTGAACTGGCTTATTCAGGTACTGGCCTGAGAACTGGCATTCCTGAAAAATGAAATAGACTGCACTCACTTGGGGTTGACTTGTTCAATAGGGATTCCAAGACGTTGAGCAATGTCATCACGGGTCTCATTACCTTCAGAGATAATGCCGACACCCTTAGCGATAGCCTTGGCTGTGATTGGATGGTCACCAGTAACCATGATTACCTACAATGGAATGAGAAAGAGAAATCAATTTCATGCTAACCACCACAAACATCCTCGAAAATTACAGCTGCACCTGTAAGGTCAAGGATTACAGTTATGCATTGTTACCTTTATGAGTGGTTTGTTTCTTTAAACTCTGTTTAATAGTCAACATCTTGCAGAACTCATTTTTTTAAATCATAACAAGTCCTGAAAAAATTCTTCTAATAACTTGTAGCATAATATGTTAACAATAACTTTTTTTTAAAGTTCAATTGAAAATGGAGTCATACTTTTAGCAGTCCATGAATCAAAGCATTTGCTTTTTCTTTGTATCCTTCTAAGCATTCTTTGGGACAGGTTGCGCTATTATTATCATTAATTCCATCTGTCAGTCATGTCATGATATGCATTTGGTAAATACCTGTGGACGCACACATGATCAATTGGGATATTATAATGAATAGGAAGGACTAGAGTCGCTAGATATATATTTTGTATAAAAGCTGTGCTATATAAATTTATTATTATTATTAGATGGGGTGATGGATTGAGAATCCACCATATTGCATCTCTTCAGAGTGAGATGTTATGTATACTTTGTATGGCATGAGTTTATTACAATTTATTTTAAAAATTGCTTTTTTAGGTTTTATATATCTAAATCTTTGGATGTATTATGGTACATTTTATTATTTACTATATGCATTATGTCACGTTATTACAAAAAGAAAAAAAATAGGGTTTCTGCTGGATATAATTTTCCCTCTGTCTTGCTATATACACTGCATTGTAAATTAATTTACATGATATATATATATTTACAAACAGAATATTGATTTGTTACATTACATTGTAAATTGATTTATATGTTTATAAACAGAATATTGATGTACATCAAGGAAGTTTCATAAATACAAAATACAAAAACTACAATACATGATAGATACCTTGATTCCAGCAGAGCGGCACTTTCCTACAGCATCAGGTACAGCAGCACGAGGAGGATCTATCATGGACATCAGTCCAACAAAGCAGAGTTTCTCCAGAGGAAAGTTCACATCATCAGCATCAAATGCAAAGCCAAGAGGGAATTGATCAGCTGGCAGGTAGCACTGGCAGAAACCTGTACAAAGATTTAAGTACTGTTAATTACTATAGTCTGACGATAAATTAGGTTCTGCTGAAATGAATATGATTCACAAGAAAATAATCAGGCGACTTCAAGAGTAAAGTATAGTGTACCTTCAATATTTCCAAAAGAAAAAGACATTACCAGCTATGACCAAGTCATCCTTCAGGGTATTATATACAAGCAATAAGCCACTGACTGTAGCCCGGTCTTTGTATACCACAAGTAAACTGTTGGGTTAGACTTAGAAAATGTTTACATGGTATGGCATTGATTTACTACTCTGACAGTTGCTTGGTTGGCCATGTTATATGGTCACATACATCCACTACAACATTTAGTATAACCCTTGTGTTAGAGTTTGAATTCATAATTATTCATTTTTAAATTCCTCTTACTAAGAATTTTTTTCTCTAAAATGACGGAAGTAAAATGTTTCCGATGTGGAATATAAAGCAAATAATCACCTTTTGGTTTCTGGCCATGGTCATGGCACTTCCTCGGCGATCTGAATGTATACGCTATCTTTCTTCAGCTTCGCTTTTGAAAGAAAGCTACATCCAGATCGCCTCGGAAGTGATAGTTTGTCCCATCACCTTCATCAATGGTAATTATTTGCTTACTACATACATTGTATGTCCAATGTATGCCTAATTTATGCCTAATACACAGTCACAGACTCATACAAAATTCTCTTGAAATGTGCAGTTCATAGGCTTAGAACCACAAAAGGGGAATTAATGAAAAAATTATAAAAATTATTTTAAAACATACTTTGTGAAGAAAAAAAAAGTAATTTGGATGAAAAAACAGAATAATTCTGAGAATGGTTGGCAGCTCTGAAAGGAGAATGAATGTTTCCCACGATTGGTAGATGTATGAACATACCCACAACACGTTCATAGGCTTTAATATAATAATAATAGAGTATATTTATGTAGCGCATTATAAATTGTAAATTTCTGCATGCGCTTTACAGTTTTGTACAATCATAACAATTTGAATATATAAACACTAATACAACACTAAATAACAAAATAGATAAGCAAATGACAAAAAATATTGATGAAAAAGTAAACCAATTAATGCACCCATAAGGGGAATTAATGTTTCCTACGATTGGTAGATGTATGAACATACCCAGAACACGTTCATAGGCTTAGAACCACACAAAGGGAATTAATGTTTCCTACGATGTGTAGATGTATGAACATACCCAGCACACGTTCATAGGCTTAGAACCACACAAGGGGAATTAATGTTTCCTACAATGTGTAGATGTATGAACATACCCAAAACATGTTCATAGGTTTAGAACCACACAAAGGGAATTAATGTTTCCTACGATGTGTAGATGTATGAACATACCCAAAACATGTTCATAGGCTTAGAACCACACAAGGGGAATTAATGTTTCCTACGATTGGTAGATGTTTGAATGTACTGACAAAGTTAGTAAGGAGGTAATTCTTACAAGAGCTGGAGTGCAAAGGAAAATGATACGTGAGATGTTGATAAGCCAGTTGAAGTTCATGGGTCACATTACATGTAAAGAAGGCCTAGAGAATCTTGCTTTGACAGGGAAAAATGTGGGAAGAAGGAGTAGGGGAAGAAGGAGGATACTTTGGATGGACAGTCTGCAGAAATTGTTGGAAGAGAGAGGAGTGAAAGAACTGAGAGTGGTACTAATACAGAAGGCTAGGAGCCGAGGGTTGTGGAACAGCATGATCGCCAAAGTCAAACGATATGGCGCTTAGAGAGAGAGAGACAGAGAGAGAGATGAACATACCCAGCACACGTTCTCCCAGACCTCCGAGCTCAAGATAAGCATTGTTGAAAGCAGTCTGCATCTCTTCATTCATATCGATTTCCTTGCCCTTGATTAGGATGGTTGTGCAACGGTCCAAGATACGTTCAGGAGCACCCTTCATGACCAACAGGTTACGATCATCTCCTTCGGTCTCATGGATGGAAACCTAGCAACAAACAAAACAATTATAAAAGGTATTACGTATCTTTCCCTCAAAGTTTGATGTACATTTATGAGCAAGATCAACTCCAAAGAATATTGATATTCAATTTGCATAATATTTGAATAATGCAACATTCAAATACCCATCAAAATTTCTGTACTTGTTTAGGAAGAAGGGATAAGACCACCCAGGGTTGTCAGTGACAGGTGGTTATCTCATCAACTCAGCTCTCAATTAACATAAGAAAAAGAGGATCATGGGGGACCAACAGGCACTGATTAGGCATTGTTTGCTATAAGTAGTGCAGTGGGGCTTTAAGAGTTACATGAAAACACATGCTCTAGATACCCTAGAGGATGTGAATGTTCTTACCTGGTATTTGTTGGTGGAGTTGAATGGGATCTCACAGACCTTCTTGTTCTTCTTACGGTACTCGGTTACATTGAACATGCAAAGTTCAACGCACTTTACCAGGGCAGATTCAGAGGCATCTCCGGTTGTATCTCTGTCATAAAATAAAAATAGGAGTAATAAGAATAATATACATATTAATACACATCAGCGAGGGCATTAGTAAGAATTACCCACACAAGGTACTCGACTTTATCTTTAAGTTCAACAACCGTAGATCTGTGGATAAATCTTAATACTGACTTACCTCTTTAGAATGGGGACATTCTCTTGTCCAGCCTTGAATTCAGATCGGTTGCAGAGACAAGCAATACGAGCTAAGGCCATCCAGGTCGGTGAAGACTTGTCAAATTGACCACCTGGTGATTAAATTACAAAAACTCATTGGATTAGATTTACTGCACGATGAGAGAAAATGTAAGATTTTTTATATTTGATTATTTGGTCAGTCGCATATAAGGACCACCTCCTTTCTGGCTGCTACCAGCTTTAGTAATTTCCCTTGTATTATATATGTTTAGTAATTGTTATTGTGTGAAACTTTGTATACTGCTTTTTTTTCATTACCCTGTTTGTCTTTTATTGCTTGGCAAAATAAATTGAATCAAATTGAAATTGAAAATGAGACTTACCACTCTGATCCTCTGTTGTGTCTGCCTCTACGATGGTGTTATCAAACCACATGTGAGCTACGGTCATCCTGTTCTGAGTTAGGGTACCAGTCTTATCAGAGCAGATGGTAGAGGTACTACCAAGGGTCTCGACGGCTTCCAGGTTCTTAACAAGACAGTTCTTGTGGGCCATACGCTTAGCAGTCAAGGTCAGACATACCTGTGGGGGGATAAAAGTTTTTTTAGCATCAAGTAACGCCTGGCTGGAATGCTCCCCATGGAGTGGAGATTGTGCACACAGTGTGTGCGGGTAAGTATTGAATTTAATGACCAGGGTAATAGTATATCTGTAAAGCGCTTAGAGACATCATAGATGTATTAAGCGCTATATAAAAGTGGAATTATTATTATTATATATGAACAAACTTTGTTTCAGCTCTTGCTGGGAATATTCTTGGCTTTCAGAATCAAGATAGAGCAGAAACAAACCAGCCTTTCATTGATAGATGTTAAATCTATGTCAAAGTAATAGTAAATGCCCTTCTTGCTTGCTCTCAGCAGACTTTTGATGTCTTTGTTACGACACGTCATTCTTTCTGATAATAAATAAATAATTAAAACAATCGCTCAATCAATACACATGGGCCTTGAAAGAAATGTGGGTGAAACACCTTGTCTAAGGATGCAAGCACTGAACTCAGGACCACTCATACAAGGATCAAGAGCCTTCCTCACTGTATCATGCCCCACACTTAAAGCCTGTTTGTACTAGTTTGGCCAGGAGGGATTAGACCTCCATGCAAGGTCATTGACAGGTGGCTATCTCATCAACTCGGCTCTCAATTAACATAAGAAAAAGGGGATCATGGGGGACCAATGGTCACCGATTAGGCATTGTTTTCTATATAGAGAGAGCAAGTAGCTACGAGTAGTGCAGTTGGGGTTTAAGAAATGAATCTTGAGCTACTTACAGTGACAGTGGCTAGAAGACCCTCAGGCACATTAGCCACGATGATTCCGATGAGGAAGACACAAGCTTCAAGCCAGTTGTATCCAAGAGGGAAAGAAAGGAAGAAGAAGGATACACCCAAGAAGACAGCCACAGCTGTGATGATGTGGATGAAATGCTCAATCTCCTTAGCGATGGGTGTGTCACCGACGTCCAATCCAGAGGCCAGACCAGCAATACGTCCCATGACGGTGTTATCACCAGTGCTGATGACGATACCACGCATAGTTCCTATTAGAATAAAACAATTAGGGATTTACTAACGGAATCATGCCCTCAACAGGACGGCACACCTGCATCTCCGTCCCTCGGATAGGACACTCTGTGTAGAGAAGAGTCACCACCTTTGCAAGTTAAAAACCCACGCCACTATTCATAAAAGAGTATGGGGAAACCCCAATCAGTTATACCGGGAGGAGATACCCCTAGGGTTACAGTGATTCAGTTCACTTTTTGCCTCCCAGGCACAGGTGACACCAAATACTTCATAATAATAATTGATCGTTCAAACAGGCAATTATGATTCTTTATTTTGTCACTAAATTGCCTTGAAATGTTTGAGAGATGAAAGGGGGCTTAATAAGGGCTCACCTTCCGAAGCATTGGTAGAGAAGAAAGCGATGTTCTTGGTCTCCAGAGGGTTATCACTTGTGAATTCTGGGCTGCGAGACTGAGGTTCAGACTCTCCAGTCAGAGATGAGTTGTCCACCTACGTACAAAGATTATTAAAAAGTTGACATGAATACAAGCATGTGGGACTTATACTCAATAATTTGAACTAAAGTACATGAGACTGATGATGAACAAGATTAATGGGAGAAATGGGAGGGGGGAAGATTTACTATCTTACCTCAATATTTAAAAACAAAATATCAAGAAATATAAAAAAATATATATCTGCATCTGCAAAAGTAATAATAAATGAATAAGATTTGTTTTTCTTTATTTTTTCTTGTCCGAAGAAAATCAAGCAGCAACACTCTTAAAACGCTCATAGATGTTTGTGCAAAATTCTGAGCTCAGGGCTTTGAACTCAATGATGAATGAGGGGCCCGTTTCATAAAACTTGTCTATAACAACTGCTAAATTACTATGACAAATTTGCTCTCAGATACATGATTACAGTAGCTTATAACAGTAGCTTGTAACTTGTTATTGATAACAAGTTTTATGAAACAGGGCCCAGACCTTCTTAACTGAGATTTCACAAAGAGAGTCGAAGAACAGCAAGAAATACATGTATGTATACTAAAGTTTTTTGTCTTGCACTCGCCAATCAGAAAGATAGAGATTCAAATTAGATTGAAGATAAAACTTATCTTGCCAACTTGTACAAACTAACGTTTTCTAAATTCCTTTGTTCCTTTCTCGATCCGCAAATACAATAAAAATGCTACCTGAATTTTACGTTCTTCTTTATTTCTGTAATGTTATTTTTGTAACGTTTCCGGGCCATCCCATTCACTCAAACATATAAAATAATTCATTTATTTTGTTTTATAATAACGTAGGAAAACTTTCTGTAAAGCAATATTCTGAAGAATTTCTATGTCAAAGTATATGATGTATTATATATGTAAACATATTGTGATTCTTTGAACGTTTGTAAAATGTGAGCAAAACAAATTTCAAATATTGGACAATAAATTGAAATTGAATTGATATGTATACCTTGAATGACTTAGATTCCACCACTCTGACATCAGCCGGGATCCTGTCGCCACCTTTGACCTCAACGACATCACCACGGACGACATTCACAGCATTGATGGAGTGCCATTCACCGCCACGTAGCACAAGAGCTTCCTGTAAGTTAGTAGAAGTATAATAATTGACTGTCATTTCAGGAAATTTGGTTTCTACTGGTTACAAAGTAATACAATACAAATATATAAATGAAATATAAATATTACAGGACAGTGATAAACATACACGTATGATAAACATACATAATAAATGATGTAGTAAATAAGTGAGCCCAGGTATATAGGGTGGTTATAGAGATAATATCAGATTCCATTTTACAAAATATGAAGCTAAATTATGCAACAATGACAGACTATGGAACCCTTTATTCACTGCATTATGTCAGTAAATGGGCTAGTGGGTACTAGTAATATTAATAATAATACCATAATACTGTTTTCAAATGCCAAAATATAATGAACATGACAAAAGAATGAGATTTACATGAAAAATGTGTAAAATTTCGCAGACCTACATGATAATTTTCAAGAAGAGATGCCTTACTTCTTCACTGGTTTGTAGCTTTATTGACCTCTTTAAGTAAGGTGTATTCTACTGGTTCTCCAAGGTAAGTAGAGGTAATGGGGTCTAGTGGACACGTCATTGGACTGATGATCATAAGATACAGGGTTCAAACTTCACCATGGCACTAACATGTTAGGCAAAAATGTTAATCTACATAATAATAATAATAAAAAAGTCCACTCCACATTTTATTAAACCGAAAATGGAAATTCGTTTTGCCCAATTGATTGTGAGCCCGGCAGCCACTGAGCAGCGCCAGATCGACGTTGCTCTATCCCTTATTGTTGATCGCCAAACAAGGTAGCAGCAAATCCCGTCTTTTAACGCCTTTTGGTATGACGCGGCCGGGGTTCGAACCCACGACCTTCCGGTTGTGAGGGGGACGCTCTACTGACTGAGCCAACACACCGGTGTTACATTTGCCTCTCTTCACCTCAGGTTATGGGTACCACTTGGGCGATAGTTACTTTGGTGGCTGAGCTATAACCAGGGTAATAATATCTAAGCGCCATGAGAGTCGATGTGTGCCTGATGCGAGCGCTGCATACATGTAAGCGGCCATTATTATTTTGAAACAGGTTTTGATTTGACATTTCAAATAGGGAGTAAAGTGATGAATAAATTTGTTTTTCCTCCCTCAACCATGTCCCCTTAGAGTTAATTCGGGAGGAAAATGGCATCTAAAAACATCCCCCTCCCCCCTTTTGAGTAAGATAAATTGAGAAATAATAGGGGAAAATAGGGTAGAATAGAGAAAATCAGGAAAAAATCCACACAAAAAAACAAACAAAAAAAACAAGAAAACCGATTTAAATCAGGTTTTTATCAGGCCTGAATGAGCAGGAGCAGTAGATGAAGAGAAGAACTTACCTGAGGAACCATGTTCTTGAAAGATTCCATGATCTTAGAACTCTTGGCTTCTTGGTAGTATGAGAAACATCCAGTGATGATAACAACACTAGCAAGCACAATACCCAGGTACAACTGAAAGACAAACAAAATACTTAATGTCATTCAGGGATGGACTCATCCAAAGGACGACGGGGAAGGACTCTGGCATGTTTCAGCCCCTTAAAATAAAATATATTCAAAAGCAAAAATTCAAGTATTTTAGACTTTTCATAAATTCCACATCAAGAGCATGAAATCTCCTTCATACAGGAAATATGAATGCTTTGAATCAACAGTTTATGCCTTTAAAATAACTTTTACATATACAATATTTTCAAAGGTGCTAACGGCTTTCCATAATTGTTAAAGGCCATCTGTCCTAGTTCAGCCAGAAGGGATTAGGTATAACACAGCGAGGTCACTGACAGGTGGTTATCTCATCAACTCAGCTCTCAATTAACATAAGAAAAAGAGGATCATGGGGGACCAACAGGCACTGATTATGGAAGTTTTCTATATAGAGGGAGCAAATAGCTACAAGTAGGACAATGTGGCTTTAAGTTCAACTTGGGATATTTGTGAAACCTCCCCCCTGGAGTAAAAAAAGAGTGGCTAGATGATTACTTACCAGGTGGAAAAATACATTAAAGATTTCAGGAGCTAGTTTTCAAGCTTGCTTGCATGAAAATAACACTCTTTAAGTTGTTTTGCATCGGACTATATGCACATTTTGGGGGCTCTTGTACGAGGGGACTCTTTGGTCATTTTGGGGGCTAACTCGCCCCGAGCCCCGATGTATTTTTCTCCCTGTTACTCACGTTGTCACTGCTCGGTTCATCCTTTGTGGCAGCCTCGATAGCATAGGCTAGGAAACAGAGGATAGATCCAATCCACAACAGGGTGGCAAATCCACCAAACAATTGCTGGCAGAACTTGACCCACTCCGGTGTCTTAGGGGGTGGGGTCAAGGAGTTGGGTCCATCTCGGGCAAGCACATGAGCTGCTTGCTGGACAGTCAAACCCTGCAAAACACAAAAATAAATATCTGATATTGAACCAGCTTTCTAATATATCTATTTATATAATCCAAACATTTATAATAATAATAATAGGCATTTCTATAGCCCCGTCGATCTAGATAATTCTTTTCCGAGGCGCATTTATTATTACCCCGGCTTGGAACTACCATAAGGCTGAGAAGCATTCAAATGATTTCTCTGTTCTTGTACCCCCTTCTCCAAACTCTGTGCCATGCGAACAGAGTGCTAACAAACTTTGAGGTTATGCTGGCTTGAAGTTCAAAAGGACTGCTTGCTTGCATAGCTTGTATTCTAATACTTTGAATGGTAATTGTTTCAGTTCGAAAGGACTGCTTGCTTGCATGGCTTGTATTCTAATACTTTGAATGGTAATTGTTTCAGTTCAAAAGGACTGCTTGCTTGCATGGCTTGTATTCTAATACTTTGAATGGTAATTGTTTCAGTCCCTTCTGAATCCTCAGCTTTGTTAGTGGATCACTGTTTAAAGATATGTTGAAGTTTCACAAACTGAAGGTTCAAAACTATGAAGGTCCTGTAGGCACATTGCTATTTTAACCCTTACTGTACCCGAGCTATTTTTAGCATCTCCGTGACTGGGGGGGGGGGGGGGGGGGGGGCTAGGAGGCCCCCCTCCCCTATGATCTCGGCCGTGAAATTTCTGATGAACACAAAAATGTCCATGTTTGTAGATATTCACATAAGGAACAAGATGGTAAAATTAGTTTTTTCCAAATATGCAATTTGTTGATGTTATAGCTTAATTAATATCCGATTTCGACGAGAATGGTATCAAAATGTGCATAAGACATGAGGGAAAAAAGTCACGAAGCGACAATTTAAAATTTCAAGCTGATGCAGCCCAATCTTCGAAAATATGGAGGAGCCCCCCCCCCCCCCCCCCCCACAGTACAGTAAGCTCCAAGTTACATTGACTTACAGTGGTGATGTTGGAATCCAGACGAATAACCAAATCTTCAAGTGAGATCTTGTGATCATCCTGTGAAAGAAAAACAAAATAAGGTTACAGGCAATATCCATACACAAAGAGAAAAGGCATTCCATACACAAAGAGAAAAGGCAATCGTTTTAGGGTGAGGGTGTGGGTGTGAGCAAGGATACTGTAGTTTTGAATCCTCCCTTCCTACATCAGTTGACAACTATCTTCATGTGGGTTAGATCATTTATCATTCAGACAAAACCTCAGCACAATTATTGAAATATGTATTTTAGAATACAAATTAACACATTATCCTAATAGGTCTAACTTAATAACTAAGGGGGGGGGGCAAACAGATATAACATGTATGATTAAATCATGCTTCAAATAATTTGCTTAATTCTAGATATTTATTTTTAAAAATGAATTTAAATAAAAAATACTCAAATAAAATTGGTTAATCAGGGGTTATAGTGAGCAATAAAAACAAATTAAAAAGGGATTGGGGAAGATGCATCTAACAACATTCCCCCCTTTTGAGTAAGAAAATTGGAAAAGATAAGAAAAATAGGGGAAAATAGGGGTAAAATCAAGAAGAAGAAAAAAAAATTGATTTAAATCGGGTAATTATCAGGCCTGTTAATCCATGCATCTTATTTAACTCATGAACTACTCATAACTCTTGATTTGTACATTTTGTATGTTTTAAAGATACTACAGGTGTGTATGTCCCATTTGCAGGCCAAAAAATGAAAAGGTTAAATTCCAACGGCATATGAAAGATATAATACTAATTTAGAACTTCTCTAAAAAAAAAAAGGGGGGGGGGGGGGCTTGAAAATGTCTTTAAGCGGGAAAATAATGACTATTAGTTATCAAATCGACTTAAGAGCTATAGAGCCAGTAAGTAATAGTCTGATTTTCAGACCATATGCCGAATGGTCGTACGTATGCTGTGCAAAGATTCAATCAGTTTAATGTTGGCCATTACAAGAATACGGTTATTGATGTAGACAATATGCTCAGGTACCCTCTACAGCTCATGTTATGTATGTCATTACCAAAGAAGAAGTGTCTAACAGTGAAGTCTAGCAAGTAAACAAGTTAACTTCAAAACAAACATTTATCTTGGCAAAAACTTCAGTGAAGATGATAGTCTAATTATATTAGTTAGAACAAAGGATTAGTCAAAAGAAACAGTGAAAGCCATATAACAATATCAAAATAAGACAAAAATGAAATAAATCAAATCGGACAAGTATCAATATAACAACATGATATACTGTGCCCAAATTCTCAAAACTATAGATTCTAACCAGAAAGTAGAATTTGTGAACTTTGAAATGACTGCAGAGAGAACTTGTCTTCTTACCATGATCACTTCCTTTTTCAATTCTTCCAAATTAATCTTTTTCTGCTTTCCTGTCTCCTTTATATGAAAAGCCAGACTACATGTAATGTATAGTATTACTACATGTAATGTATAGTACTACATGTATGTGTAATGTATAGTATTGCTACATGTAGTATTACTACACATAATTTATAATATTGCTAATCTCAAGGTTTACAACTACATTTTCAAATTATCCAACTATGAATGGTTGGATTGTTCTACAACTCATTAATACACTGTATACCTCAAATGCCCTCTTGAATATGATAACTAATTAACCCACTCTTCCTAAAATTCGCCTATGCAGAAAATCAACAAACTCAGGTTTGGGTATAATATAGGTTGGATTAAGAGGGCATTTCCACAGCAAGCATTAATATGTTACTATGATATTCTAGTTATTGGATTATTAACGAGGGCATTTCTTAAGCAAGAATTAATGTTAAAAATGATATTCTTCTACATACATGTAGGAGTAATGAGAGAAGTCAAAATCATTTTTTTCCACCTTTACCAGAACTAAGCCTTCTGAAGCATAAATTTGTTCACTATTAAAGCCCATCTGAACTAATGTACAGGGGGATTAGACCACCCTGCAAGGTCACTTGACAGGTGGTTATCTCATCAAATCAGCTCTCAATAAACATAAGAAAAATAGGATCATGGGGGACCAGTGGTCACCGATTAGGCATTGTTTTCTATGTAGAGGGCGCAATTAGCTACAAGTACGGTAGTGCAGTCCCACTTTAGTGAAAGTATATAAGATCTTTACTTACAAATTCCATTTCTTTCTTGAGCTCCTCCAAGTCCCTCTTCTTGTCTTTCCTCTTGCCCTTCTTGGGTTTGCCAGCAGCATTGCGCCCATCATCAGGGACCTCAGTCTGTACTGCAACACGGTAGCTTTCGCCACGGCCCTGTCAACACAAAATAAGAAATCAATTTTAAGCATAATCTAAAACTTCACCTGAAGCAAAAAATTTGAATCTGACGACCGCAATTTTGAATGTGTGTAATTACCATTGTATTATTGTATTTTTGTTTTTCGTGTGTACATTTTTAGGATCATCTACCCATAAGTTTCTGTAACTTTTTTGATCAACCAACCACTTCGTAATTTCCTTTAGTGTATTACTAAGTTTTTGGTTTATCTACATTATGTTTGCAAGAAATATTTCATTGTATTCTTTGCCTTTGTATGTTTTTATCAAAGTGGTGAATAAGTTAAATTCAAATTCAAAATAGTTATTTGCCATCAATATAAAAAACAAACTCATTTCTTCAATTGTTTGAGGTGGAATTGTTCGAGTATAATGCTGTTTAAAACTCAGAAGGACCCATGATGACTGGGAAAGCGAAATAAAAAAGTTACTTTCATTCCAATGAATATGTGAGTATATGAAGCAATCACCACCATCATCATTCATCAGTACCACTTTTTACCAGTATACCACCACCAATCATTATCATTTGAGCTTGTTAGATATTCAGAGTCACATTTACACAAGGATTTCACCTGCATGTGAGCTTGCAGGTATCAAAAATCATTTCTAATACTAGCAACAGCAATGCATGCAATTACAATAACACTGAACTGTGCCTCAACCATTTTTCATTTGGCTAGATAAATCAGTTTACACACTACCCCCCCCCCCCCCAAAAAAAAAAAGTCTGACCAGGACAATTGCCAGTGTGCATCAAAATAGACATTCAATACAGGAAAAATAAAATATTTACAACCTCATTTGTAAATACTATTTTATGCTGAATTGACAGTCTAGCTACAGAATGAAATATGTAGTGCACCCCTTTCAAGCAACTAAGCTATTCCTCCAAAATGAATACTCTTTTACTAATTCATAAATTTGTGATTATGCTGATAGGGCAAAACCATTGAATAATGACAAATATTGAAAATCAACTTTGGTTTCATTTATTCCCCATCACGGCCCCTGGGGCCAACTATAACGAGACAATAAGCCTTCAATTCTTATCCATTCCACACAGACTGATATATCCATAAGTTCACTCTGAGCATGGTAAGCACACGGGAGTGGTGAAGACTCATATAAGTGATCATTATCTAATATTCACTGTTTTTGGATATGCAAGGGCCAAGCAAAAAAATGATGATAATATTATTGAGTATCGATGCTTTAGACATTTTTCTAATGATAATTTTGTCACCATGTTACAGAACTTGCCTTTCAACGAGACTTTAAATGATAAGGATCCAAATCATGCTTGGCAATGTTGGGTTGACTTGCTCATAAGTGCCGTCAACAAGCACGCACCAGTAAAGAGTAAACGTATTAGATCCAAGTTGTGCCCGTGGATTACTGGCGATTTAATAGAGGCCATGAATAGGCGTGATTGGCTTTACACAATGGCAACTAAGCCTAGCAATCCCGATAGCTCTGAATTTTGGTCAGAATACAAGTCATTAAGAAACGAAATTACGTGTATGATCAGAAATGCCAAAAATGATTATATAAATGCTCTACTCCATGAGAACGGCGGAACTCCTAACGCCATGTGGAAAACTTTGAAACTCATATCATCATCTAAAAAAGAGAGTAACCTTAAACTGGAAGTAGATGGTGAAGAAGTAATTGATGCCGAGAAGATAGCCAATCACTTTAACAATTACTTTGTGGACGCAGTTGATACTATGTTTAATCCTCTTAACTTTGAAAATGATGTTAACAACTCCACCATTGATAGAGCTAGTGAACCATCTGTACACAGCGATACTGTTGATACCGTTCCTCCAGTCAATTCGTTTGATCTCCCAGTTATAACAGATGAATTTGTTATGAAGGAAATCGAACGTATCCCAATTAAAAAAGCCACCGGCCCAGACGATGTTTCAATAAAATTACTAAAATTTGCATGCAATTCTCAAAATGTAATACAAAGCCTTACTTATATACTTAATTCATCTTTGGATCAGGGAATTTTTTTTGATGAATGGAAGATCGCACGAGTCCAACCTATTTATAAAGCTGGAAGTAAACTCAGCGTTGAAAATTATAGACCAGTTTCGTTATTGTCCATACCATCCAAAATACTGGAAAAAGCTGTGAACACGGAATTTCAAGAATATTTAAAAGTAAATAAGATATTAACAGAAAGGCAGTTTGGCTTCCGCCCCAACCATTCATGCGAAACTGCCCTGCTTTGTATGGTAGATTTATGGGCCCAAAACGTGGACAAAGGCAACTTAAACGGTGTTGCGTATATTGATATGAGGAAGGCATTCGATGCAGTGAATCACTCAACTCTATTAATGAAGTTAAAAAACGTTGGTTGCACGGATAGAGCCATAAAATGGTTTCGGTCCTATCTAGGAGGCAGGAGCCAGTTTGTGTCTATTAAAGGTAAAAAGTCATCAACGAGAACAATTAATTACGGTGTACCCCAAGGTTCTGTCTTAGCGCCATTGTTATTCTCGATATTTATTAATGACTTGCCCACTAGTATTCATAGTGCGGACATGTTTTTATTTGCAGATGACGCGACCATGTCGGTACAAGGCAAAACATTATCTGAGATCCAAACGAAACTAAATCTTGCTTTAGATGAAGTGTATTCGTGGACGCAAAAAATAAACTTCTATTGAATACTACTAAAACAAAGGTAATGGTTATTGGGTCGAAGCAAAAGTTACAGACGCTAAACGAAAATAAATTAAATGTGCGTATAAAGACAACACCGATTGAATGTGTGACACAGTACAAATGCCTCGGTGTTATAGTAGACAGCAATCTCTTATTTTCGAAGCATGTCGAAAAAGTAGCTTTACAAATGAAACAGAAATTAGGTATTCTAAGAAGACTCAAAGGCACGTTCAATAAACATTATCTGAGTATGATATACTGGGGCTATATTCTACCTCATGCTATGTACTGCTGCACTGTGTGGACAAATAGATCCCTGCATAATTATGAAACTATAAATAAATTACATAAACGAGCAGCATATATTATATCTGGATGTTCGTGGTCAACTCCTTCACACGAGGTTTTATTACAACTTAATTGGTCAACACTTGAGGCATTGTATTCAAGAGCAATGGGGATTATGGCATTTAAATGTGTTCACCATCTTGCACCTGCCTTATTGGCAAACAAATTTATTTTACATGATGATGTAGCACAACGCATGACACGTAATTCCCATCAACTTAAGCTGGAATCCAATAGGTGCAATACAGAATTTTTTAAGCGCTCCTTTGTAAACTCTGCAATAACACTCTGGAATAATCTACCCATAGAAACCAGGTTCTCCCCCAATCTGAACGTATTCAAAAGCAATTTATCACACTGAGTCTGGAACGCTCTTGTTCATTGCCGTGCAATATGAATGCTGCAATCTCCTTTAACATTTTATTTTAATTAGCACACGCCAATAATGAATCTTGCTTACTTATTTTATCAATATGCTAAACAACATTATCATTGATGTTTTTTTTTTTAAACCTCAATTAAGGAATCTTTGAAATTGTATTTCATGTACTTAAGCAATACCATGTTATGAATTGATTATGATACTAACATATGCATGTTATTATATTTATGTGCATAATATGTCAACTATTTGTTTTTATAATTAATAGTTTAAATTATTAAATGGGAAAGTATTAATAGTATATATGGTATAACGTAATGGTGACGGCAAACTTTTTTATCATTAAAATATATTGCAATAATTTGTTTTGATATTTATACCATACTTTGTTTTAACTTTAACCTAATACTATGTGTTATTGCGTACAAATGTCAACTACATGTATATATATTTTAATTGTGGGTTTTTGTTGTTGTTTGTTTACAATAGTTTTAATTATAAACTGGGAAAGTATTTAATTGTATACATTTTATAAATACTTAATGGTGACGGTAAACTTTTTTTAACATTGAAATATTCGCAACAATTTTATAAATATCTATAGCATACCTTATCTTATTTTGAACTTCGTATACTATGAAATGTACTGTATCGCCTTTTTATTGCATGTCCGAATTATCTCTCATATTATAATGTGCATTTATTGTTGTTTTGATTGACATTATTATTGAACCATGTATGTTGTAAAGGGCCCTGATGAAAACCAGCTCATGCTGATCGGGCTACCCTTTTTAAAGATGTGAAATAAATAAATTAAATAAAAACATACCTTCTTCCACACAGCTTATTGATCAGAAGGCAGATAAGCTCACCATAGAGAGGGGTTACATGTATAACAATGGGTTGAACCTTGCACTGCATGCCATACTATTTGTTCAGTGCAAAACAAATAGCCTTACTCCAAGGCAATCCAAGCTTACAAACTTTTTATCAAGCGCTATAGGAATGTATATAAAATAATTATCATTATCAATAATTAAGGGCACATTATCGCTATTAATGTATTAATGTATTAATGTATGTGGTTGTGAAAAAAGAAAGTGATAAAATACAAAAGCAAAATCAATTAAGTTTTGTAGAATGAGCATCTTTTGACTTGAAGTCAGACTACTTAACAATAGGAAGTGAGATAATAGAGGCCCTAGTGAATAGAGGGCAAACAGGGCCTGGGTTAGTAAGTGGGCGTATACCTCAAGCCATGTGGCTTCAGAATAGTGGTCATACTTTTACACTACACTAGCAAGTTTGCCTCAGAATGAATGAGAAGAATCTCTATAGAAATCTATAATCTACCGGTATGCAGTCCTGCTTGTACTGAAATGAATGGACAACATTTTAATAATCCAAGGCATCTCTCACTATGAATATGACTGACAAAGAAAGCGGACAAAATATACAGTTCCTTAGGTAGACAAAGGAACATCCCTTCACTGCTATTATGTAAAAATGTGTAGAACAGGTGTCACATGCATATTCACTCTTTACATAATAGCAGTGAAGGGATGTT